TGCAATGGGATTCGACTTTGGCTCGTGAAGCAGAAAAATGGGCTTTAAACTTAGCAAAACAGAAACGAATATTTCATGACAAACGAATTTTTGGAAAAATCGGGGAGAATGTCGGGTACACAAGCGGCTGGGGGTCCAATCCATATGGTTGTCAAGAAGCCACAAGGCGCTGGTAAGTTGATGGGATTCCTGTGGACAGCAGACCGAGAGGGAGTCGTGATGATATGCTTTTCTTTAATCAGGTATAGTGAGGAGAAAAACTACTCGTACAAGCAYCCAAGCACTCGTTCAACACCAGAGTATACAGATTTTACTCAGGTAAACTCTAAAGCCAAACAACCACACAGGCAACCCCTCTATTCCGCGGGATTCCTGTGTTAAGGCAGAAAATCGGCCGGAGGTGAGAGGGGTTAATCTCTAGGCACCAGTTTGTCTCGTTCAGGATAAATCAACACAGGAAGACCAAGGAGAGAAAATATCCGTGCCAAGGAGGCTACAACCACCCACCCACCACCCAACCACCAACCAAACAACCAACCGAAAAAGTGCTTATAAGTTATGACAACATGTTGATATAATGGATGTATTTTTAGATTGTGTGGAAGGCTTCAAAACGTCTTGGTGTCGGTATTGCTAAAAACGATGACTACGTTGTCGTTGTGGSTCGCTACAACCCTGCAGGAAATATGGGCTTCGCAGAAAACTGGCGTAAAAATATCAAGAGCCCAAGACGTGCCTAAGAAAGCTTTATTAATAAACTAAATTATTAAAGGAGATCTAACACTTTACTCGCCATCTCAGAGTCTTACCTCTTACTTCCATTACCCTAACTCTGACACTGTATTACTTATTACTGATATCGCAAATAATTATGATATGTTCATGGTAGCGGAGAAGTTTGATTGGTTAGTAATTTCAGTGCGCGCCTAGTTCGTATAGGCGGTAACCTTGCCAAGGTCAACTAGAAAAGAGAGGTCCTCTTAAGAAAGAGCGGGATTTCAAGTCCGCCGTGTATGTTTATTCTGTCTAGCAGCCAAAACAACTTTAAAAAAATGTCTTGTTTACCGTCTAGTTATTGGTTGACAGCCGTTCACAATGTACGGAATGGAATAGCAATGTTGTTATGATCGGTTTCAGGGTTTTTCTTGACTTATTTTCTTGTTTGTAGAATTATGTGATACATCAATATAATTGACCGCGTTTTTCAATTTAGCGCGCAATTTGTTAATAGCTTGTTTACATCCATCCCTGCGGGCTTGGATTTATCTTGTCACTCTAGCGACATTATTAAATTCTTTGTGTACGCACAACGGGAAAGGTACAATGACGCTACTTGGATGACTGCGTTGCGCGGCATTTTCGTTTCGGATTTTAACAGCATGTTTATGTTGTATCCAAACGATTTTTCAATATTTTTTACAATTTCAATTAAGTCATTTCACTACGAAAAGACGAGGCGGCATTACGGTAGTTGTGGACGCAGTTGTGCGTTATGATCCTGCATTACTTATTCAAGTACTAGACCGTCTAGACAATGTCGGGACACAGCACTCAGCAGTTGTATTTGAGATCCTGCGGAGGGAGTGTTCACGTATGAAATACTTTGACTGAAAGCTCTGACAGAAAAAAGCTCTCGCTCACTCTGCTTACTGGCACTATTGATACTGGTTATTTAAGTCATTAAAATTAGCAGTTCTAGCTCGCTCAGTTACAACATGACTACTAAATATGGTTATAAAAGAGATATACGAATATACAACTTTTATACTTGAAATGGTCTGAAATGTGTTCTACAATATGAACTTAAAACGTGTTTATATGCATGACATTGAATCATTAACCAATCTGATCTCCTCTGACATTTTCTTTGCTGGGAGGGAGATGGCGGCTAAACGATTCTGCATAAAACACAATCAAATCAACGGAATAGTACAACCGAAAGCAGATCAATTCAAATTATAAACTCTTTTTGTCACGTGATAACACATTGCGAATTTTCGCGCGATTTCTCGTGCCGCGCGCTGCAAATTACTGAGCAAATTGTACAAGTTGAGCAGGACAAAGATGTCATGCAATATAACTAATAAATGATAGCTGCACTAACTCTAACTCATGATGTTGGATTTCCGAAAGATGACAACTGACGTGGAATTCTTTATAAAGATTTCTTATGTGTGTATAAATGTTAATGTTTTCCGCAGCCTCCATTTACTATCCCGCGTTTTTTAACGCGCAATTTTTATAATCAATTATAAACAATGAATGGCCATAATGCATTAGTAAACAATGAAAATCACTTTGACAAGCAGCCCTGGAGCCAGTTTTGATCTCAACAAACCAAGCGTGCGGACCCCCTGTTGATTAGTTTTGTTTGTTGSTTTTTGAGTGTGACGATGAATGGAATCAACAATGCATAAAAATGACATAAAAGGCTGCAAATAGGGAGAAAACAGTCAGTCAAAGATTGTACCTCTCTTGACGCAGACTACCAGAATCACTGCAGATATAAACAAGACGCAGGTCAGAATTTCATGTTATATTTGTTATAGTTTTGATAGTCAAATACTTCTCATGTTGATAATATCCGTGATTATTGATAATTCATGATTCTACATGTAGAAAGTGCGGTTACACACCTCATCGGTCAGCTTTCGGAAACTAAATGGATACAGTCTAAGAGGAGCGTCATGCTATACTGAAATAGCAGCATTTTAACCATGAAATCAGTTGTTTGTCATTTGTTTTGCTTTAATATAAGATACTCCTGTGATTTTACGTTAGATYGCTTTGTTAAAAAATCTCTGGTTTGAGTTTTGGCGGGAAACGGTTCCGTTTTCAGTCCGTTTCATTTTGGCGGTAACTTTGCCTCTGTTGGAGTTCAGCCTGGGCGTGGACTAGATAAAATATTCTCTGGGTAAATGCAGAGTCTCATAATCGATGTAGTATATTTTTCTTTCCAACATATGACATGATAGTAATTATATATTTAGCGGTAACCTTCATTRACATAGTTTTGTAACTAAATGCACAACTGACTCTAACCGTTCAATTCAGCCAATTCAAATATAATTATTTCCTGTTTAGATTAAAAGATGTCTAAAGTTATCCTCGTGGTGTTAGTTGCATTTCTTGGTGTAGTGACGGCAGCCATTGTTGACTGGGACGCTGTCGAYGATGAACCATTTCTYTTTAAACGAAGACCTGGTGAGAACTTAACTGTTAACAGACATGATGAATGTCAATAATTAGCTATAATTCAAGCTATTAAGTGGATAAATTGTTTTCTTTAAGATACCCTGATAGATTGTAAAATAGATGAGGGATGATGTTAGTTTCGTGCGCGGATTAATTGATAAAATTCCGGAACACTTTTTTATACTTTCTGTAAAGATATTTCATTTATCATCTTATCCATATTAGTGTTTACTTGCTAATACTTACAATTGTCACATTTGCAAAACAACTATATTTAAACATCATAAATCGATAATTAATCGATAGATAATCGGTCAAATATTTATTGATGGAATGTTTTTATCGTGTAGAGTCGGTCAACATAAGGAGGTGTCTTGCTGCCCATAATGAATATCGCAGACGCCATGGAGCACCACCCCTAATATGGGATACAGAATTAGCCAATGATGCACAGAACTACGCCAACAAACTAGCAGCGGAACATGCATTTAGGCATGACCAAAAAGAACTAACAGTTAAAAATGAAGGAGAGAATTTGGCATCTTCAATGGGAGCCAAGTTAGATTGCGCGGGGGCGACGAAGTTGTGGTAAGTGATTGGGATCCCTGTGCAAATACAGACCGACGTGGCCTGAGCTAATAGTGAGCTTTTATTGATAGGTATGATGAAGTCAAAGATTATGATTTCTCACATCCTGGATTTAACCATAAAACAGGGCACTTCACTCAGGTAAGAGTCCAGATCGATCAGCATAATCGAAAAGATGGTCTATGTGACGAGCGGTCTTGGGTTTAGCTATAATAAACAAAAGAAATATATATCTTT